CATAGACTGAGCAAAGGTTTTGCATGTTGAAGAAACAGGTGCTCAAGGGTGCTTGGACATTGTTATGGCAGAGGGTGACCCTTATTTTCATAAGCTTCTAAAATAAACCCAGAGCCTTTCTGGCAATTATGTAGACCAACTGTCTGTGCACAGTGGGATATTCTTGCTAAATTTGGAATGGCGCAAGACCAACTTCTCTCTCAACTTCATGGTGTAAGATGACCTCTCTTACAACAGAATTAATCCTGCATGCTTGTATTCAAATGACATTGGGAAGAAAGGCACAAAATCAAATGAAGCCCTTGAAATTCTGTTTGAGCAACAGAAAAGTGTGAAGTAAGTTCAGTTAGTACCAAATAATAAAAAACAAAGTCCACCTTTTACTCCAACTCTAACATAGCCAAGCTTACATTTGTTTAGTTTTCAAGCTGTATATCTCAGATTTAACTTTTCATTTATGAATCACTGTGAAAGATTGAGAAAAAAACCAGTGGAATTTTGATTAACAACTCCGTGTGGGATTTCCCAGTAGGAACTGGAAAAGCAGCAAAACAGAAAACAGAAATACAGTCTCATGCACTTGTGGTTGCCTCTATTAATTTTCTCATTTCCACCTTGGACAGTCTTCATAGATTTTATCATGGTGCCCTTTGGAAGGGACTTTGATGCTGTATTAATTACAAAGAGGTCACTGTTGTTGTTGAAGTCTGAAAAATTAGGTCAACATACCAATGCTTGCTATGCTTAATGTTTCTTTTTGAAGGTTAAGATACCTTAGTTTGACAAGAGTCATTTTTAATGTAGGTTGACAAGCCAAAGAACTAAAATGATCAGCAAAACTCCATTACCAAAAAGCTTAAGCAATTTTGAACTATAACAAATTTTAGATATGGTGTATTAGTTCAAAAATTTGTTTAATTTTTGGCAAACACACAGCCTTTGCTAGTATTTAGAAAATGATGATTTTCTTTAGAAGTTGAATAAAAGTAAATATCCATAAGAGTATATACAAGTAATTACTATTTTATGATCAGTAGTATGAATTATAAAATTGGAATGTTTCAAGTAAACTTTCTGATGTTTTCAATGTATTTTAAAAAGCTCCCCAAAATGGAGCTTCCTGCTCATGCTGTCTAATCAGAACTCATCAAAACAGTCTTGTTGTAATCCTTGTGTATGCCTTTGTGTAATTCTGTTTAAACACATCATGGTCAGATTTTTAACTTTATTTTGGGTTAAAGACATCAGGTACCTGGCAATGTTTTAGACTCAGATATCTAAGATCTTAATAGATGAATGTGGATGATTTTAATCTCTAAATTGAAAGAAAATTGAAAATCTTCACCAAGTAAAATTTCCATTCAAGGTATCTTGGGATAACAGAAACAGACCATTTTAGATTTTGTTTTTCTTCAGTGTGTCACATCTGTTTATAACTCAAATCTATATTTTAACTCTTAATATATGAATCAGAGGAGCATGAACCCTAGAAAAGAGTCTCCAAGTTATTTGTAAATCAGCAGAATATCAATACTACACTTCTTTGCTTGTTTTGTATACTTTCTTTTTAGACATCATTTGAATGTAATTTTCTGTCTTTATTACAAAACTAAAATAAAAGATATAATTTATGGAGACATCTGTTTTATTGTATAATATATACAAAAATGTAAGGGAATGAAATATTTCCCAAAGTGTGTTTCTGGGGCAGTAGCTCTATCATGACACACTACAAAAAATATTAAATGTCAATTAAGGAAAATTTGCACTGCAATAATCTCACATTAAAGCTCTGACAATTCCTATCATGAATCAATCTTATGACTATTTTTGTTAGTCAGTTTTCTGTTACTATGATAAAGTACTTGGGGTAGTAAATTTAAAGGTTTGTTTTAGTAAGAATTTGGAGGCTTATGGATTGCTGATCTTACTGGTTTGAGGGCTTTGGCAAGGTGATTAGTCATAGCAGGAAAGAAGAAAGGAGGCAAAAGGAGGGCCAGCCTGATAGCTCAGTGGACTACAGAAGCAGCTTAGACATAGCGCAGCAGCTGGGGTTC